AAAGACAACCCAAAAGACCTGGCATGAGAACGGATGGCTGGGCCAAGATTGGAACGGCTGGAAGAAGTTTGATGGTGCCTTGGTCTCCAACGGGAGCAAAGGTGATTAATTAAGTAAGTACTCGGGTCCGTAGAAGGCGAGGTGCTTGTCCAGTGTTAGATACAGCTGGCTGAAGAGCGGCCGCTGGATGGGCTGCCAGCGCCAACACTGCTGCATCAGATCGTACCTGTGGAGAAAGCGACATCTACCGATCGTCATTTGAACTTAAGCAATTTAGGTCCTCGGGCAAAATGCATTATAGCCTCATAGTTTACCTTATTGCGATTCACAAAATTTGGAGCATATAAAAGTGTGCTGTACGGAGTTTCAGTTTCGAGCAATAGCATGCATTTTTGAGGGTGAGCAGGATAAAGTAAATGGTTACCGGGTGTATTTCGATGATATGGGTGCTTCTGTTCCTATCTAATAGTAACGTCATTCTATGAAAGAGTTAAACTTGTCCGAATGCTAACGATTAGTGTACATAAACTAGCAGACTTACATGGCTCGCGGGCAGTCTTCAGGTTGGTCCATCCTGAATCCAGCCTGTAGGCGCTCTTTCAGCTCGGATACTGCCACGCCAGGGTAAGGGTCGCCCCCTAGCGTGCAGATCTCGTACAGCACTATCCCGAAGGACCACCTGTTAAAAGTTGATTTGAAGTCACGGTAACTTTGAGAGATGGCCTTTTAAAATATGGGTCAGGATTAGTAATACTATAGATAGTATAATAAGACTTACACATCGGTCTGTCTGTGTTAGGTTAGAGTTTTGGATTGGTTATCATAGTTAACTGCAGGCATTATGATAAGACTCCTCACACATCGCTCTGTGTGGTGTTAGCTTAGAGTTAGACATTGGTTATCATAGTTAACTGCAGGCATTATTATGATAAGACTCCTCACACATCGCTCTGTGTGGTGTTAGGTTAGAGTTAGACATTGGTTATCATAGTTAACTGCAGGCATTATTATGATAAGACTTACACATCGGTCTGTCTGTGTTAGGTTAGAGTTTTGGATTGGTTATCAGAGCTAACTGCAGGCATTATGATAAGACTACGCCCACATCGCTCTCTTTGGTGTTAGGTTAGGGTTAGAGAGTTGATATTATAGTAGTTAACTGCAGATATTATGATAAGATTCCTTACACATCGCTCTGTTTGATGTTAGGTTAGAGTTATAGTTTGATTATAATAGTTGACTGCAGACATTATGATAAGACTACTCACACATCGCTCTGTGAGCTGTAGGCTTTCCCATCCTCCAGCCGCTCCGGCGCCATCCACTTCCAGGGAACCCTCTGGAGCCGGTCCTGCCGACGGTAACCTCGGCCGTAGATGTCTTCTGCCAGCCCGAAGTCAGAAATCTTCACATGCAGGCGTTTTCCGACCAGCACGTTCCGAGCGGCCAGGTCTCCGTGGACGTAACGAGACCGGGCGATGTGATCCTGGATCATGAACAACACATGAAGTCCGTGACGGTTCTTTTTTTTTACATCAGTCTTGGCTAAGATCCAGCCAACCAATGCTGCAATTGTGATGTTTCGTTTGAGAGCATTTGATGTATTGTATATTGTAATCCACAATTGTACAGATGAAATAGATTCTTATTTACTGATTTCATGCATATGGGCAGCATCTGGTGCATTTGTGGCACCTAGTGCAGCTGTAGCACCTGGTACGTCTAAAACACATAGCATAGCATCTATAGTATCTGGAATTTGCAGCACGTGGAACATCTGCAGCAATTCCTACGTTTACGGTAACATGTGCAGCACCTGGCACATGTAGCTCTGCAGCACCTGATAGTGGTACTTACCATGCCTCTAGCGATCTGCCGGGCCACCTGATACATCTGCATAACCTCAAAGGTGTAGATATCGTCTCCAGGTTCATCAGAGGTCGCTTCCTATGGAAATGTAAATATAAAGGCATGTTGTAAAACATGATTAAAAGAGTAGACTTAACAAACTTTTCTAACGCCCAAATGGCACAAACATATATAAAGTAAAAACTAACCTTATCCAGAATGCCCCTTAATAATTTGGTCCGTTAACTAAAAATACACCATCCTCATCATTCTTAATCGCTTGCAAAATTCAAGAAATACTTTTTAGGGTTCCTACCTCCTAGTTGAACGTTCCACATTTCAGAAAAAAAAATAAACACGTGGCTCACCTCCCGGCATTTTCTCAAGAAGCTCTTCAGGTCTCCGTACGGCATGAGCTCCGTGATGAGATACAGATGGTCTCGTACCACCGTGCAGCAGCCGAGCAAACCCAGCAGGTTCTTATGAACCCCCAGGTCCACAACTGCACGGATTTCCTCCAGGAAACCCAGCTTGTCATCCTCACTGGCGTTTTCTGTGGATTAAGAAAACATTCAAAACTGTAGCGTTACGTACTAGTGGGAACTATAGAAATGGGGATAATCATACATGATCAAGGTAACTAACTACAGGCGTTTTTTTTTTAATTTTAGAACATGTAAAGAGCTTTGACAAAAACATTTACATACAGAGTTTTGTGTATTTTGCATATAGAGTGCAGATCTGGAAAAGCACACTTCCATTCAGCCACGTTCAGAATTCGTGCACATCTAGATTAAAATTGCGTTGGAATATTGTGTGAAATGCGTACAAAGCCATTAATGTAAAAAAAAAAAGTAATTTGCATTCGAAACCTTTCAGAGTTTTTACGACGACGTCCTCCGTCCGGTCGTCCCGCGTCAGGGTTGCCCGGTAAACGATGCCGAACGCCCCGCTGCCGATCTTCTCACCAAGCGTCACCCGGCTGGGGTCGGTCTCTAACTTCGGGAACTGTGGTCGGGCAGGAACCAGCGGGACCATCTCCTCCAATCTCCTCCTATGGACTGTACAACAACGTGGGACAAGGATGCTGGGGTAAATGTCGAGGAGAAAAATTCGCTTGAAAAGATAAAACGCTATATCCTTACACAGAAGTGAGGTGCTTAATGGCAAGTTTCCCAAGTTGAAATATCCAGAAGCCTCCGCTTCTGTCTTGATAATGATATTGTCATTTATCGACGAAGAAAAAAATCCATTCAGACTATTTCCTTTTGTATTAAGTACATGTAATCACGCGAGTTTTGACATACTATCAAATACAAAAAATGGGACTTGAGGGTAGCTGTGTCAAAGAATCTTTTTCAGAAGACCAGAACACTTATCTGGATATATAGATAAATATATAGAATTGCCCATAACCCTATCCAGACCTGGGAGAGGCTAAAAGTGCCCGAGCTAACTTTGATGTCGGATAGCGTCTGAACGGCCTGCGCTAGAACCAAATCAAGAAGCTTCATGAGTTTTTCTAAAATATTTTTGGCAACATTTTTTTGTATCAGTATAATAAGTTAGTGATATTTTGTGTTGCCACGGCAACGGGTTTCTTACAATTATTTTTTTGTGAAATTCAGTAATTTTCGTTTCAACAATAGACTTTGATGAGTTTTATATCAAGTGCCTCATTCTTTCTAATTTCAATAACATGTAATGCAATTAAATGTAATCTTTATCATTAAAAACGCATACGTTATTTTAATTTGAAGACGTTATTGGTCAAAATTCAGGATGGCGGACCATACTGTATATTGTTCACGAGTTCTGAAGGGGGCAGTGATTACCGCACCCCCCCCCCCCCCGACCCACGAATCAAAAAAAAAAAAAAAAAGGTCTAGATAGGGTTAAAATGTAGTCACTACACATACCTTTGACTTTGGGTCAACGGTGGTTTAAAGTCAATTTGTAGATAAACCTTATATAGTAAACGATGAAAAAAATACAAATTCATAACTTACAGTCCTTCAGATGAAAATTGGAAACCGTACTCACTGATAACATCATCTGGTACAAAGTAAACAGTCGATAGTTCGTAGTCTTCTTCTTTTCTTTTCTTCCTCCGACGTCTTAAGTACACCGTGAAGACGACAGCTGCCACAATCAGCAATGCGGCGATACCGGCACTGGTGCCGCCGATAATGGCTTCAGTGGACGTGCGACTTTCCTCTGTAGGTACAGTGTGGGTGTTAGAATATTTAGGTTTGTTTTTATGGCGCCAGAACGGCAATACCAGTACTGGTGTTATTAGTGACGAGCGTTGCGAAATAAATGTGTTATGACAATTTATTCTACAGATAATGTGATTTGATTCATTCACACGCAATGTAGAAGAGGAAGGACCGATGTCGTCTGTCATTGTGACCTTTTAATTAATAGTCGTGATATAGCGACTCAAAATGTTGTCTTCCCTATATCACGTGTACCATGAGATGGATATAATATGTACATCAGTTTCTGCATGCATTCGAGCGAATGCAAGCCCTTATGTTGTTTTCTTAATGCATTTTAGCAGTAACCGTCAGTAGCATTGACTCGGCCGTTCATGATGTCGGTGGAATTGTCACAGCAGATACCTGATTACATAAAGCTTGCATGTAGAACATTAAATGCTCTGAAAATTGAATTTTAAAAGTCTACTGAAAATGTCATGAATACTAGAGTTCCCTGATCTCATACCTTCGCCAAATGATGTTAATCTTTATGACTGACAAATTGTAGATTAGATTATTTCCCCCTGATTTAAGAAATAGGAACCTAATTTTCATGAATTATATCATTTTATCATAATCTCAACCAAAAGACAGTCTTATATTAACAAACAATGCATTCTAGCATTTCCTAATAAATTATGCAAATGAGGTCCTGATTTGAATAAATCATGTTTAATGATGTTCACCTCAACTAAACTTTCAAATACCACAAGTATGAAATTCCAGGCAGTTATCATTACATAATTATAAAACTGTCTCATTGATTATGCAAATTAAGTCATTATTAACATAATCAATATCTTCCTGTGTTTCTCTCGTTGTCAATTACCAATGTCACAAGCTTCAATTGTCCTATCATGGAATGCAGCTGATTTATAGAATTTCCCCATAAATTATGTAAATTACATCCATATTTGCATAATTGTCACATAATTATATTAAACATCACGTAAGCTACCTACATACCAAAAATCACGACGATCCGTCAAACGGTTCTTGAGTTATCCCCTTTTGAATAATTTCAAGAATATATCCCTGCAGTTCCCCATAAATTATGTAAATTAAAAGAGCAAGCCGCTAGGGGACCCAAACGCACGTCACTTCTTCCCCAGCACAAGAGCTACCTACCATCCAAATTTCATCACCATAGCATGTCTAGATCATGAGATATCAAAACCGGAAGTTCAGCTGCAGTACCATAACAAGCCGCTAGGGGGCCCAAAATCTAATCATTTTGAGGTCTCATCAAGACCTACCCACCTACCAAGTATCAAAATAATCCATCAAGGCCTTCTCAAGTTATCGTGTTTACAGACACACACACACACACACACACACATACACGAACGCCCCTGAAAACATAACTTTCTTGGCGAAGGTAATAAATTCATACACCACCCAACCATCTCCATTTGAGGGCCTAGGTTTGTTCGAGTACGCTGCTTACAGTGCCATAGTTGCTACACTCTTTACTTTCTGGTAACGAAAAAGAGCGTACAAAATAAATTATTCCAGAGAAAAAAAAAATATCAACTCACGTTGGCATGTCGGAATCTCCCTGTCCCAATTTTTGTCCCGACAGGAAGCGAAAGAGCTGCCGACAAGCTGATATCCAGTATCACAAGAGAACTGGATGGAATTCCCAGAGCAGTAGTCATTATCAACCGTGATCTGGCCGTTCTTTATCCTGGTTGTGTTGTCACAGCAGGTCCCTAAAATTACAACTGTCAATAGCTTTTGTCTTTTTTTCCCTTCAAAGCAATATCAAACTTTTTACGATCATGTTGGATACGTCGACTTCTCCGCTGCCGAACATGGCTGATGATGATGAAGGTAATCAGCATGAAGCAGCTACTCAAACAGCTGGATATGGTTTTGGAAACGGTCAGACGTTTCAAGTAGCATATCAACTACCCTTCATCAGTGGCACTAAGAGACTGCAGGAGAAATGCATGTTTATAAGCACGAACTATTGATTGATATGCAAATAAGTGAAAAAAAATTTTTTCAGTCCATAAGGAAACACAAGTTACACAAGTCAAGACAAGAATGATGCAAATTAGTGAAAGAAGCTCTTGTTGTTTCAGAGCAGGAGCTTAACTTTATATCTTGTCTGACCTTGGGGCCGGGAGCGCCAAATCTCAAGTGCCTGAGAGTTCTACCCATACCCCCCCCCCCCCCTCGGATACTCCTTGGACAAGCGGAATAGTGATGTTGCCTTTTTTTTTAATTTGCATCATCCTTGTCTTGACTTGTGTAACATTTGTTTCATTTTGGACTTCACTTATTTGCATATTATTCAATAGTTCGTGCTTACAAACCTCCATTTCTTCTGCAGTCTATTTAGCCTGGGTTCCATCCTAGTTAGTTTACGTCGACTGTGGGAGCGGACGTAAACTAACCAGGATGGAACTCAGGCTGACGAAGGCTAGTGGATGCTATCTGAAACGTCTGATCGTTTCCAAAATCATATCCAGTAACTACTTTTCGGCGTATTTTATTACGTGGATGTCTAACCTTCACCGACGAATCATCATGTATTTGTAAAAAAAAAACACAGCGCATGAAAAATATTTGTCCGACGACCAGCCATTTACTAACACATTTTTTGTAGCCCAATACTTTATATAGCAAACAAATGCCCTTTAAGTTGGAGAATAGTATGGTATTATATCCTAAGTATAGTCGACTTCTTTACATCTAAAGACAATTGCAACAGGAGACTACATTTTGTACCGGCATTCCAGGAGGGCCTAAAGTTTTCACAACTCTACCTGAAGCTGAAGAGTACGTCCAAAAGAACAATGACGATAACGCTATCATGACATTCACAACGTAAATGTAAACTCACGTTGGCAAGTCGGAAATTCTCGGTCCCAACTCCCGTTCTTTTGGCAGGTGGCAGGGTTGCCGACTAGCTCGTACCAGTGTCACAGGAGAACTGGATGTCGCTCTTAGAGCAGTAGCCGTCGGTAGCAGTGACCTGGCCGTTCTTCAGTTTTATGGTATCGTCACAGCAGATATCTTAAGATAAAAAAAACTGGCATTGAAACAAAAGCAGGAAAAAAGTGCATTCGTAAATATATAAAAGAAATAGCTTGGTGATATAAAAGTGCCAAAGTGCCAGTTTACATTTTTTTTTTAATTAAGCAGTGGTCGCTACGTAACACGGCCGTTAGGACCCTTCAAGGATACGGATTGCCGAGTAGAATTGTAACAGCAACTCCTTTTTCCTGGGTCAGAAACATCATGATTGAGACCAGCTCAAATTCTCACAAAAAGTAAGGATTAATTGACCCAACAGGAGAAGCAGGGGTTACGAAGGGGTCATATTTTTTCGAAATACTGTAAACGGCCAAAGAAATTCGAAATTTCATTCTTAACGGAAATAATAGTTATACTATTATAATATAGACCATTGAAGCAAATTAACTTGAAAGTAAATAAAAACATTGTGTAAATTACACATGCATGGCATTGCACGGTACCTGATAGTACTAGTATTTCTTCATCATGATGGTTGAATTAAAACCATAAATAACTTTCCCTGGTTATACGTTTGATGATAATTACACACTACTTCTTTATGCTTTCATTTTCACCGCTCTACCCTGTAAAGACATTGAAAAATTATAGCTACCTGTAACATAGACCTCTACCTCGCACAGTAAAAAGCCGCTGTAGATTCGCCCCACATACTCTATTGACACATAACGGCCGAATAAAGGCTGTTCGCAATACGCAATTCGCCATTCGGGCGGCGGAGGGTAGAGTTGGAAAGTCTGTCCGCACTGGTCATTCTGGGTCAAGTTCTCGTTCGGACCAACTCGTACCCTACCATCCCCGGACCCTGTAAAATTAAGTCAACCAAATATACTGTGACAAGTGGAAACTAACACACGCGTCTTATAAATAGAACCAGGAGAATTCTTTGCGTCACCTTCATTAATTACAGAGAAGCCTATATCCGACGACTTTACATAGTAGAAAAGGCGATGTGTATACTGTTTTCTGTCACCTTTCTGGCCAGATAGGAAATATTTATCTGGCACCAAAATGAACACAACATGCATGGCGCGCGTTTGAGCCACTCGCGTTTATAATACGGGAGGAGACTTTCTCACAGCTTGCCTATCAATCTATTCCATTAAAGGTGGACATGTTTCCATACTTTGGGTTTCGGGGGAAGTTATCAATTTCTTTTAAAGATTGCTAAAATGTCCTCAATTTGACTACAGGGCCTAATACACTCTATAGAAAATTGATACATATAAATATAATTTTTCATTCCAAATTCATGCTCGAGGCCTAGGACTAATTGCAAATGCAGAAGGGACGTTTAATAAGTACAAGCAAGAAATACAAAACTAGACACAAGAAATAAAAAAAAAAACTACCTAAACTCCTAAAAACTGTAATAGAGCTAATTATAATGCCAATATGTATTACACAAAGTCATCAGTTTACATAAGGAACTTCTTCCTGTTCAGCACATGCATAGAAATATCACGAGAGTTTGGCGGAAGAAATGTCGAGAGTTTACGAATACAAAATAAAAACCGGATAATTAATGGCCGGCATATACTCGCACATCTACCAAGTTATGCATGGAGCTTTTCTTATTTTGTGCTGAAAGTAAAGTCAGTCTAAAAAGGGATACAGTGAAAGAAATGACAGCGGTGCTATAACATACAGCTGTTCCTTCTTTAAAACGGTACAAGTCTTAAGTGCTTGGTGACAATGATTTAGTGAGGACGTAGATGGTCATTGATGTACAAATGGCACTAGCATTAGCGTTAAATGTAGTTGTAACCTTCAGTGCATAAACAACTTACCAAAAAAGTTACTCTGAACGCTGACCCTGCTGACTCTGTAGAAACCTGCCAGGTCCACCTGCCACCATGGTGATGACAGACCTGTGGTAGTGGTAGCACATTCATTGTAATCACCATCCACAGCCTTCTCGGCACCATTCCAGGCGTCGGTGCTACTCTGCGTTGCGTTCTTTCCAAGGGCAATGTTAAGTTCTGCAAGTGAACAGTGACTGCAAGTCGTGACGACAAATGGATAATGGATGTATATATATGGCTAAGAAGACCCAGGAAGATATTCCCGTTAGAACTAAACAACAGTTAGTGTTGGGATTATTTGTTTGTTTATTATTTGCACAGCAGCAATAAAAAAAATTATACATAGTAAATTAATTATGAATAAAACAGGTGCAGGAGGAGGGAGAAAAAGCTTATTTAGCTCATGCTAAGCCCTCCTCCTCTATACTAACCAAAAGTAATTATAATTGGATTGAAATAAGGCATACATACATAAGGAATTGTTATCAACACAATTCAAACATGGGCAAAATGATACAATAACAATAATGAATCAGTAGTAGTCATAAATTGAGATGAAATGAAATTGATATGGAATAATACATATATACATAAGGAATTGTTATTATAATAATTCAAACAAAGGCAAAATAAACAATAACAATAATTGAAACAATAGTGTACATGTCATAAATAATTATTTACAGATTATGACAGTTTGTTTCTGGTCTCGGGTATACTGTCTGACTCATGTAGGTGCGCCCAGTAGTTGGGTATGTTGTTATCACTTCCCCTACTCCTGTTGTTATCGCCGCCAACAATTCAGCACTCTTATCAAGACGTAAATACCAATTAAGACGTAAATACATGTGTTGTTTTTGGAGGTTTAGACAAAAATTGCAAGCGGTCATGTCGTTCGAC